CTGACACAAGGTCCAGTTTTCAAAGTGAAATAATATTAGACTCACCAAAAGGTAAGAGATGCAGAAACCAAGGAAACAGAATGATTCTTCCTAGACAAAATGAATTCAAGAGACAGGAATAAGCGCTGAATGACCAGAAAGCTATACACCAGCCAAGTTAGGGTTAGGGAGAAGTTTTAGCTCCTATGACAACTGGGATTAATTAGTAAAGAAACAAAAGGAACCTGAGATCCAAACTGAGCTCAATGAGAGAATATTCCAGGTTCATTAAAAATGTTTACCTGTGGGTTGAGACAGGGGAATCAACAGCATGTTGCCCTGACAGACCCAAACGAGTCTCTCAGTAGAGGTTGGTTAAGAAATCTATATTCCAGGCACTTATGGCAGAAGGAACAGAAACCTTGTCAAAAGCCCAGTAAAATGTCAGTGAAAGAAATTTTTTTCTTTAATGTGTAAACCAGAGCTGGGGGCATAGCTCAGTTGGTAGAGTACTTGCCTAGCATACACAAGGCCCTGGGTTCAATCCCCAGCCCCACCGGAAGATTTAAAAAAAAAAAAAAAAAAAAAAACCTATGGTATATAATGTGTAAACTAGCAAGGACAGAGAGGGTAGAAGAGACAAGAGCAAAAACATTATGGTGGGGTGAAGGAGAGCCAATAAACAATCTGACTTATACAGCAGAATCTCCAAAAGGTTAAGTAATTAAAGGTAATTGGGCCCTATGTAGGGTGAAGTGTGGGCTGAAAAGATAAAAGACTTATTGCAAGCCTCCCCCACATCCCTCCACCAATCTGAGCGGTTAGGTGACAGCCCCTTATCTATCACCAGCAAAAAGCCTGGAGTTGCCTTCCCACACATCCCCATCCTCCAGGGTCTCCGGACATCAGGCACATTTCAGGCATCCTACGGAAGACAGTCACCCACAACTTCAGCTTTTACCCTCCCACTCAAATGTCAACAGACAACCAAGGGCACTGGGAACACAAGAAAAGCCTCCAACAGGAAAGTAAGAGACCTAAACAGTGAAAAGACAAGAGCGATCTTTGCAAACTGAAACTGTAGAAGAAAGAAAAAAAAAATCCCCCAAAAGTCATTAAACTTCCCAGGGGGATAAGATCCTGGAACCACAAAGAAGAAATACAAAGATACACACACATACACACACACACACACACACACACACACACACACGTATATGTGTGTATATATATTCAGAAAACAAAAAATAGCTTTTAATTGAAAATATTAAATAAATTATTAGCATAAAAATCTCAGTGAAAGGGTTTAGGTAATAAAATTGACAAAAATCTCCCCAAGAATAGGATCCAGAAATAAAAAAAAAACAGATATTATGAAAGAAAAGGTAAGAAAATTAGAGGCCTGATCCAAAATATCCAATATCTGAATAGTAAGAGTTTCTTAAAGAAGCATCACAGAAAATGGAGTAAATTACCAACAAGATCATTCAAAAAAAATTCCCCAAACCAAAGATATAAGTTTCCAGATTCAAAGAGCCCAACCCAATGGGTGAAAACAGACCCACATAAAGGCACAAAATCATGAAATTTAAGAATTGTAGAGAAAATTTTATGAAATTCCAGAGAGGACATAGCAGGTATGGAGCCTATATGCAGCCTACAAACAAAACTGAGGGGTTGGGACTGTAGTTCAGAGGTAGAGCACTTGCCTAGCACATGTAAGGCATGGGCACATATAAACAAATAAATAAAATAAAGATTCCATCAACAACTAAAAAAAAATTTTTTTAATTGAGGGTTTGGAACAGTTCTGAATTCCTCAACAGCCACACCATAATCTAGAAAGCAATGGAACAAAGCCTTCAAAATTCCATCCTAGAATTCTGCACTCGGCCAAATTATAAACTGTCAGTGGAAAATAGATATTTTCAGGCATTCAACAGTCTCAGAAAGATAGATATCCTATTCACCCTTTTCCAGGAAGCATCCCAGGACATGTGCTACCAAAACAGGAGAGTCCACCAAAATAGAGGAAGACATATTCTGTGGGTACCAGGAGATCAAAACAGGAGTGAGATGATGGGAATCCCCAGGACGATGCTTTAGGGAGGCCCTTGGGGAGAAATATGCAATGACAACAAGTTCAGATTATAGCAAGCCAGGAGGCTCAGGATTGGTTTCTTAGAAAAAATGAGATTAACAAAAGACCAATTTGAGGCAAGACTTAGAAAGCAGGCCAAGAGTTGTAAGCTGAATTAATGAGTACAAAAACGGTCAAATAAAGCAATTATTAACTCAAAGAAAAAAAATATGCTTAGCATAGTTAATGAATATTGATCTAGCCATTAATCAATATTCTGCTTTAACTACTGCAAGGGTGGTAAAAATAGGGAAGCTGTGCTTGTGCTGGGGGGTGGACAGAAAAAGAGAGCCAACTCATGGTCCTCCACAGTGGGAAGTCAACAGATAATGCTTAAAGTTGAAAACCTCAAGAACTATCAACTACAAGCAATACGTGCCACAGAATTCTAAGGGTTGTTTCTGGAACGTTAGAAAAGCAACATGAAAGGCTTAAAATTCAAAGTAAAACAACATTGGCTTCCACGCCTCACACATATTTACATTTGTTTGGCTTTTTCTTTGTTTCCCCAATAGCAGACTGTTTTGAAAAGTTCCTTTCTTGTTTTTCTAAACAAAAGAAAATATAATTTTCTACATCTATGCCACAGTAGCTGTGGTCATCTGAGCTCTGAGCAGTCATGTAGTGAGGAAATTAATAGTCATAATCTGTTCCAAGGAAGGACTGGTTGAGCCAGGGCAGAAACAAAAAGACAAGCCCAGGGGAGGCAGGTTTAGAGGTGTGGGCAAATACTAAGCCCCCCGCCCCCAGGTTGGGTGTTGTTGCAGTTTTCAATAAAGCTCTTCTAATGGCATAATTGCATTGCCACAAGATAATTTTACAATTTGTCAGTGACCATGAGCCAATTTCAATTCTTTCTGTCAGAACTGAATGCCCAATTTACAACACTAATCCAACTAAGATAGCCAGCCCCCAGGACTACAGATCTGGGTTCAACTTCAGTTACTCTATTTTGCCTGATGCAGACTAGACAAGAAGAGAGCATAGGAAGGATGCTGAACAAGTGACAGTGTCATCAACAGACGTTTGCCATCCATGGGGGACCCAGCACCAGGATCAGGATTAACACTCCTGCTGATGCTGTGGACCAATGCTCCCTATCCTGAACAATAGCTGGGAATCTGGGCGGGGGTAAAGTAGAGGTCAAGGAGCTAGAAGAACAGGAGGAGAAGCACCAACCTGGTCAACCAGGAGGAACCTGTAGGCAGAGGCATAATCAGAGACCCAGAGCACAGGCTCCTAGCTCTCTGGATGCCTGGAAAAAAGCAACGAGGCCAATAATTCTTCCCAAGGCATAAATATGGGCCAGTCACTACCCACAACTTCTTCAACCTCCCTGCCAAGGGTCATCCTCAGAGAGCAAAGTTTGCCATTCTCTGAGCTTCACAGTGGTTTCATAAAACATAGCCCTTGCCCTTGAGTAACTAGCTACTAAGAAAACAAGACCATCTTGTTACAGAATAAAGTAGGTAAACAGGTTGAAATGCTACAGCATACATGAATATTCTAGATTATTTCCTATTTGGAAGGATTTGAAAATTCTAGATCAAGGACCCAAGTGGGTCAAAGTTATAGTCAATTAGAATTGATTTGCATGTGTTTACAACACTTGCGTTATACAGTTCCACAAATCAGAATGTACACACCCTTATGGGAAGAATCAAGATCATTAACATAAACACACTACAGTATGCATCCTGCGTTGGCAGGAGTAAAGTATTAGTTAAGAGTAGTAAGTTGATTAGATTAATTAGAGTATAGGGAAAGTATATCCTTTGTAAACACTGAAAACAAAACTAAGCTAAAAATATTTTCAAATATTCCATACTTGTCTTTTCCCCATATAAATCATGGTAATTTTATATGCATAATTTCATAATTGCATATGATTCTTGTGGACCAAAGAGCTATCATTGTGTAACCTAATTTGTTAAATCCCAAAAGTTATTTGGGAGACCTGCTGTTGGTTCTTCGGTTTTTTGTTTTTTGGTTTTTTTTTCCTCCCCAACTCTATAGGAAAGAATCAACCAGGACGCAGTAAATTCAGAATTTCCTAAGAGGAAAATGAGCACTCACTGGAAAAAGACAGGACATATGCACAAAGCATAAAACTATTTTAGATAGCCTTCAAGCCCACTTAACCACCAGCCATTCTGTGGTTCCAAGCTAACACTGAGATCAAGTCTTGTAATCAAATATTCCAGTTTTCCAAAGAATGACAAGAGATGAGATTGTTCCTGAACCTGATACAACGCCATATGTCTGTTATTCGTCCATGAAAAAAATAATAATAAAGTCAAAAGAAGATTTAGGATCCCAGGAAATAAATGCACACTCACGCGTCAAGGCTCTAATTTTTCCAAATACATCTATAATCCAAGCCCCTATTTTCAAGATCCATACACTATTTCCCGTTTAAAAAAAAAAAAACTGAACTTGATGGAGTAAAGCACGAGGACACATGCAACAGTGGAACATCTTCCTGGATTCTGCCAACTTCAATCAAGATTGCAGTGCAGCGGGAGTAGAGAGGAGGAACCAACTCCGCCGCACAGCTGGGAAGTAAACCCAAAGCCAGGCGGCTAGGGCCCTGAGATCCAAAGGAAAAGGGGGCGGATGCCTCCCCACGAGAGGTCAGCACTGGAGCCCGGGGTACAGGCTGCAGCCCCCAGGAAGGCGCGGCCACGCAGGAAGCGCACCACTCCTTTTCTCCTGGAGCGAACAGGACGGGTCCCTCACCTGGCGTGGCAAGCCCGCGATCACTACAACCCGAAAAGTAGAAAATCCTTCCCGGTTCCACGATGGTCAGTTTGGGAATGTGGAAGCCACCTCTGTCCGCGCGCACGCCAGTCCAGACGCTCCCCGGCAGAGTCGCCCTTACCTGGCTGGAGCGCGTCCGCTGCGCCTAGCCCGGGAGAGTGTGAGGTCTGCTGAGTTGTGCCAAGTCCGCCCCTGGGCGCCCTCGGCCCCGGCCCACCGGTCGCCCCGCCCCCGCCCACCGGTCGCCCCGCCCCACCCCGCCTCCGATCGCTCCGCCCCAGTCGGTCGCTAGAGCTCACAACCACCGTTTGACACCGCCCTGTGGCAATTTGAAGGCAAAAAGCCGGAATAGATCGCAAGCGTGACCAGGGCCCCCGCCCCGCAAGTTTCAGGGGACACCCTTATGCTCTCGGACGCAGCGGTGAGGCTCCCTAGGCTTGGGAGTCCCTACCCAAGAGAACCGCCCTGTTAGGGCTCCTACATCCCCGATCGACGGGGACAACCCAGAGCAGTGCCACCTGTGGGTGACTGGGAGCCTGGTAGAAACTAAGAACCGCAACTCCTCTTCCGCTAAAGAGTTGGCGGGTCAAGCGGGTGTTGAGGTGCCCCGGAGTGATACAAGAGGTTATACCAAAAGAATAAATCCTTTTACTGTCAAAACTGATACTTACAGGGTCACGTGCACAATTAATGAATTAACCCTTCACTCGTTGAAGAACAGAAAATGCACTGTTCTAGGTACTGTACCTGAAATTCCTAGTAGCAGAGACCCCATTTTAGATATGGTGAAAATAAGGCATAGAGAAGTAACAATTTGCCTAATGCCAAACAACAACTAGTAAAGTAAGAAGCTGAACTTCAAATCTAGATAGTCCTCCTGGGGAGCCTTGGCTCTTAAATACTCACTGAAATGTGAATGTCCACCATGTGCCATAAACTGATGCAGGCTTGTGGAATACAAAACAGAGCTCTCCCTTCAAGGAGCTTTTATTCCCTGTGGGGATAAAGAAAATAAACATGAAAGATATGTAAGAAGGGTCTTGGCAAAATACAGCAGGGTGATGGAAAAGTGGGTGACAGAACGGGGTTGGGGGTGGAGAGCTTCACAAGACAAGGCGGTCCTGGAGGTTTCTAGGAGGAAGTGACAATAGAACTGAGACCTGAAGGATAACACAGGCAGCCAACCTGAAGATAAAAGAAAGGAGAGGGCAAGTGCATTAAAAGTTACCATACCTTGTGCTTGTTTGGGACTGGAAACAGTGTCTTCCTATATTACTTCTCCTTTGATCATTATAATTACCCTGAGAAGGAGTCCGACAAGATTCCATTTAACAGGAAAAAAAAGGTGAGCATCAGAGAGATTCTAAAGACTTGCCTAAAGTTATTTAATTAAGATAAGGGGGATGGGACAAACGGAGGTTTTCTGATACCAAATCCTCTCTCACTCCATCCAAAATCTTGAGTATACATAATGACATACTATAAATGAATATAGTAAAATTTCTCTCATATAATCTACTGTCTCCTCCCTACCCTACTCTTTCTTGCCTCTTATCCTGTTCAGATGCTGGTTTTGACCCATTAACATAATTTCCCCCAGGACCAATGTTCTTTGAGGGATGGAGGGTCATGAACCCTCTGAAATTCAAGCCAAAAAATCAAAATGGGATGTGCATGTGGAGAGAGCTAGTTATAGTTATTACAGTAATAAAGTTAATTTTCTCCCAAGAAAAATGCTCAGATACATAAGTGAGAAGACTTAGAGCTTTAATTATTTGACTTTTGTAAGTATAAATGCTCAGTATCAGGTTGACATTGTTTCAGTTCTTTGAGAGAAGAAAATACATCTTTTTAACTTTCACACAGATTCCGCATGGAGCACAAGAAGACATACAAAATCAACATGGCAAGTTTGTAAATAAAGTAGTATTTGTATTTGGAGCTTCTTGTACTCCTTTCTGTAAGTCTCTGAATTCTTTTTTTTTAACTTTCTACTTTCCCAAATGAGATTTAACTCATCACAGATAATTAATAAATTCTTGTTGAATAAATGAATGATGCTGGTAATAATACAGTCCTTATCAGTTTTGTATGGAGAGTCTGTTCCTACATGAAGATGACTTCATTGTGATGGTATGATATGTCTGTCTCTTTCTATCATGTACCAAAAGTAGTTGCTCCTTTGGAACTAATTACATAGTAGGAAGGAACAAGTTTTAAAAGTTGGACATAAAGTCAATAATCATATTCCCAGGAATGTTGGCAAATAATTAACTTAAAGGAAAGAAAAGATATCATATTCAAAGTGTGTTTATAAAAGCATCATTTATAATAACAAAATAATTAAACGTCAATAGGGAAATATTTAAGAAAAATATATCAATACTATGGAATGTCAGGTTACCATTTAAAATATTATCTGTGTTAATATAATAAAAATGTGGAGAAAAAGTTATGAACAAGTTTATATGGAAAAAAATAGAACCGAAGGCTTTGTGTACTCTGTGATTACTACTAAATACAGATTATGTGGGGAAAGGTTGAAAGAATAAGAATTACAGTTAACAGTTATTTGAGGGAAATCCTACCTACTAGGCCCTTTTCTAAATGCATTAATTCATCAAATTCTCACAAATGTGAGAGGCATACAGTTGTTATCTTTGTTGTACGGATGAAGAAGCTGAGGCAGAAAAGCTTTAAATAATTTGCCCAAAGTCACACAGCTATCAAGTGGAAAACCAGAATGTGGACACAAAGCAGCATGGCTCCTAAATTTACACTTGGCTTTTTGTTTGTTAACTTACTTGCTTTGTTTTTTATAGTACTCTGGACTAGATACTGGGCCTTGTGCACACTGGGCAAGTGCTCTCCACTGAGCTACATCTCCTGCCTCTGACTTCACACTCTTAGCCATGCAAAGCTGCCAGAGAAAATAAACATTGAATCCTGGATCATGTGGGGTTATTTAAAAATATTTCCTTGTATAATGCTTTTCTGCTGGCTTGGTAGTAAGTGAAAATTTTTTAAAATACAGAGCCAGAGAAGAAGGCATAGAAATAAAATCAGATTATGCTTAGAAGAAAAGAAATATAAAGACAAGAATCACATCTGGCTTAGGCCAATTTATATTCTAGATTAAAATCTAAATAGTGTTTCAAAGAACTCCAATATCTCAATGACTTTGTAATTTATGAAGTTTGAGTTAAAATTATTTTAGTCATAATAAAATGCAATATTCAGTATTACTAATATGAATTAAGAAATTATTCTGGGGGGAAAAGATTATTCTGTTCTGGGCTTATACTTCCTTTTCTCTACCCAGAATGCTCTAACCTCAGATGCTTCTGAAGCTACCTCCTTCTCAATGGTGGTCTTGAAACTATGGCCATCACTGCATGACCAAGAGGCTGAGAAAACAGGCAAACAAGGCAGACAAAACTTCTACTATGCCGGGCCCCACATTCTGGTGGAAAGTCAATGGTTTAGAATTCAATTTAGCTGCAAGTAACAACATCCCCTTGTGGTGAGGCAAATTAATGTCCCTCCCAATGATGCCATCTTCAATCCCTGAACCTGTGAATACATTAACCTACATGGCAAAAGATGTGAGTAAATAAGAATCTTGAGATGGGGAGATTATTCTGGACTATCTGGCTAAGTGAAGTAATCTCAAGGGTCCTTATGAGAAGGAGAAAGGAGGATCAGAGTCAGAGAAGGAGATAAGAAAAACAGAAGACAGGAAGAGAGAAATTTGAAGATGTGATACAGAAAGCTTTGAAGATGAAGGAAGGGACCACAAGTAAGGAAAGCAGAGAGCTTCTAGAAGATGGCAAAGACAAGGCAACATATTTGCCCCTAGAGAATCCAGAAGGAACCAGATCCTTTGATACCTGAATTTTTAGCTCAGCAAAACTATTTTGGACTTCTGACTTAAGAACTGTAAAAGAGAACATTTATATTATTTTAAGCCAATAAGTTTGTAATATTGGTAACAAGAGGCAACTAACAGAACATTCAATAAGTTTCTTTCTCTCTCTTATGGGTAAGAAGTCAATGTCAGGTAGGCATGATATTCCGTAGTGTCAGGACCCCACTTTGCAAGTAGATGAGAGAAACTGAAGGGAAGTATGAGTATTTCCAGGGACTCATAATGCAGGCATTGAGCCAGGTAGTCATCCGTGTCAGTGTTTCTCAAACTAGTAAAGTATGAAGCCTTTTAAACAATACATTTTCATTGTAATTCATCTAAATATACACAAAAATATAAAACTACTTATGCATTCTTTATTTTCAAAGCAATATTTACTTTGTAGCATTTTAGATACATAATTAAAGGCAGAATAAAATTTCAAAATAAATTTGATCAACACTAAAAAACCAATTATTGAGGCCACACACACTCCCACCACATGGTGTCCCTGGAGGCCATGCAAGGAACAGTAACAGGACACTTCTGCCCCTCCCAATCAGGAACACATCAGGGGAGGCCAACTGGGGACAGGGAACTCACTATACTAAGAAACAGGAAGATCCCAAATGAATGAGAAAGACAATCTATAGAAAACAGCACCTAGATGACAGGATGTCAAAAGCATGTGAAAAAAATTTTAAATTATCTATCATAAAACTGATTCAATGAGCAATTACAAACAAGCTTAAAAATCAATGAAGAAAATTGTCTTGGCAAAAAATAAATTAATTAAAATAGAAAGTATCAGTAAAGAAATAGAAAGTATCAAAAAGAACCAAATGAAAATACAAGAATCAAAATTTAAAACTCTATGGATAAGCTTCAGCAAAATGGATGAGACAGAGGCAAAGAGTCAGTAAACCAGAAGACCAAGCAATAGAAATGACCTAATCTGAACAACAGAGACAGAAAAAAAAAGATTCACAAATAATCCCATGGGACTATAACAAGAGATCTACCATTTGTATCATAAGAATTTCAAAGAGGAAGACCACAGGGCTGAAAAAGTACTCAAGGAAATACTGGTTGAAATTTTTTTATATTTGAAAAACATGTAAACCTATATACCATGAAGTTGAGTATACTTCATTCAGGATAAACAAATATCAATTTATGATAAAACATATCATAGCTACACTTCTTAGCATTAAAGACCAAAAAAGAAAAATTGTACAAGTAGCAAGAGAAACATGAC